GTTGTAGTGTGTTACCAATTGAATTATACTGCCCAAACCGTCTTCTGCCTTTACGCTACAGTGTGCTCTAACTGCCGTAATGATTAGGGCTGTTCTAGTGTTCAACAACCATGGAAAGCCAAGGCTAATGAAGTTTTATGAACACTACGTAAATGGCTTGCGATAGAGATAACTTTTCCAGTCAGAAGAAGAACAACAGCAAATTTTACGAGAGACTTTCCAATTGGTTTCCCGCCGCGATGATGATGTATGCAACTTCCTCGAGGGCGGGACGTAAGTTCAAACAAGTATCCTTCAGTGTTCTTTCAGGCTTGCCGGAAAGCAGGATTACAGACTTATATACCGACATTATGCGACCCTGTATTTCGTTTTCTGTGTTGATTCTTCCGAGAGTGAATTGGGGATTTTAGATCTGATACAAGTTTTTGTTGAAGCACTTGATAAATGTTTTGAAAATGTATGCGAGCTGGATCTCATATTTCATGTAGATAAAGTAAGTTTCATGATTCCGTTTAATTTTAAAGGTTCATCATATTCTGAATGAATTGGTACTGGGAGGTATGGTCTTGGAAACTCATATTAATGAAATAACCACTCGCTACGAGGAACAGGCAAAACTGGAAAAGCAGGAGGTGAGTTATGCAGTTGTTATAGTTAGTGAGGCACCGGATGTTTATGAATAATTTGCATTTGCAAGAAATCCAAGTATGTTCCCCTAATATTAGCCCATTATGATCTTGAGAGGTGACCATGAGAAGCTATAAATGGATAAATCTAGGAGGTGGACAGTCAGTGCTATTAATGGGTAAAAGTTTGGTGCGTATAAGAATCTGGATTCCGCATGCGAACAGGATCTCGGGGTACTGGTTTCCACGTCTTTAAAACCCAGGGAGCAGACAGACAAAGCCTGCGCATTAGGTTGGAGAATCCTTAGAGCCATTCGCCGTTCCTTTTCCAAGCTCTCATACGGTGATTTCAGGGCGCTGTACACCTCCCATGTCAGACCTCGTTTGGAGTTCGCGAGCGCAGCGGTATATCCGTGCACAACTGCCGAAATTGTGAAACTGTAGAGGGTCCAACGAGCTGCCACTCGCATGATTGCCGGATTGAGTGGGTGCTGCTACACTGAACGATTGCATGTTACTGGACTGTTCCCCTAGTCATATCGCCGAGTACGGGATGACATTATATGTGTACGACGTGTTCTACTTGGTGACATGGGCCCAGAGCTAAAGGAGCACTTCCCTCTGCGCGAGCAGAGAAGTACTCGTGGACACAGACTTACTCTGCTGAAG